ATGTGCCAAGTTATGCATGTGAGGCTCTATCTTTGTTAAGGAGAGGTTTGCAGTTTATGAATGACTAGGTATGTCATAGGGGTCCCTGGGTGGCACCAACAGTTAGGCACTCGACTATTGTTGTTGTTGTTGTTAGGTGCCATTGAGTCATCTCGGACTCATAGTTACCCCACGCACAGCAGAACAAAACACCACCTAGTCCCACACCAGCTCCACAATCCTTGATATGCTTGAGCCCATTGTCACAGCCACTGTGTCAATCCATCTCATTGAGGGCCTTCCTCTCTTTCGTCAAGCCTCCACCTTGTCAAGCATGATATCCTTCTTCAGGGAATGGTCCCTTCTGACAACATGACCAAAGTAGGTGAGACAAAGTCTGGCCATTCTCACTTCAAAGGAGCATTCCGGCTGTACTTCCTCCAGGACAGATCTGTTAGTTCTTTTAGCAGTCCATGGCACTTTCAGCATTGTTCGCCAGCACCACAACTCAAAAGCATGAACTCTTCTTCAGTCTTCCTTATTCATTGTCCAGCTCTCACATGCATATGAGGCTGTTATGATTTGTATCAGGCACACCTTAGTACTGAAGGAGACATCTTTGCTCTTCAGCACTTGAAAGAGGTCCTTTGCAGTCAATTTGCTTAGTGCTATACATTATCTGATGTCCTGACTGCTGCTTCCATTGGTGTTAATTATAGAATCAAGCAATGTGAAGTCTTTGACAACTTCAATCTTTTTTCCATACAAGGGATGTATTAGGAAGCCCAATTTAGGTTCAGTCCCTTGCCCCCATCTCCCACATGGCTTCTAGAAAAAATGTGATATTTTGATCTTTTCTGATTCTTGAATGTTCTTATTAATTGCTTCAGGACCTGGAGGGGGAAGAGATGTGATTGGCACCTGAGATACTTCAACATCCTGTTTGCAGTGTGTTTTGGTTCCCTAGTGCTGCTATAACAGAAAATCCCACAAGTTGATGACTTTAACAAACAGGAGTTTATTCTCTTACAGTTAGGAGGCTAGAAATCCAAGTTCAAAGTGCCAGCTGTAGGGACTAGGTAAAGGCCCCTTGACATTGGGCTTCAGCTCTGTCTCTTGCTCCTGGCCCTCTGGAGCTGAAGGCTTCTCTTCACTCAGGCAGCTGCTGGCTGCTGAGGCTGACAAACCCAAGGTCAACAAACAAAATGCACAGTCCCAAGATTATCAAGCAACATGGTAGGCCACTAGTTCAAGTCCAGAAACAGTCTCAAGATTGACAACATGGCAAGACACTGAGATGAAGACTTGGCCAAATGTAGGACCCAGATGTGCCAAAATGCTCAAGACCTTTCTCAAAGTTCTTCTCACATACTGGAATCAGACCACATCCCTAAGGCATCTACTCAGCTACTCACAGTAGATTCTACCACGGAGCTGGTTACCAGACTCATCATGGTGAATAACTACATCCAGCGGTCCAACCACTCAAAACCAGGCCCAGGCAAACTGACACATAACCATACAATGAGAAGAACCCTGGTGGTGCACTGTCAAGTGCTCAGCTGCTAACTGAAAGGTTGGTGGTTTGAACCTACAATCTGTTCTATAATCTGTAATCAAGATGAACAGTGAAGGATAGAAGAGGGCACCAGAAAAACCCTTGGGCCTAGAGATGCCCACACAGCCAATTTCTAAATGTGTCAAGCATGGTGGGATAATACACCCACTGGTGGAAGCAGGGGTGGGTATGCTTTCCATTCAGGGCACCTCCCCACACCCACTAACGTGAGTTTCTTCTCTTGTCTCCTGAGAGCATCTCCCCCCATTTACCTGCTTCTATAAAGGTGATGGAGTCTCAGCTTTTACACCCAAGCACCAAGAATCCAACTGAGTTAGGAAATGAAATGATCACTCCAGATACCTTTCTCCAAGAAAGGAGACATTTGTCAATGGTACAGATTTCTGCCCCAATTATGGAAGACAATGTCATAACTGAGTCACAATTGAATGTCATAATGGAGCCCAGTCATCAAAGGTGGATTCTAGGCAACTAGCACTAATGTAAGGGAGCTCTGGTAGCACAGTGCCTAAGGCACTTGACTGCTCACCAGAAGGCTGGCAGTTCAAACCCACCAGCCACTCCTCGGAAGAAAGGTTGAGCAATCTACTCCCGTAGTGATATTGCCTTGGAAACCTAAGGAGGGGTCGCTATGAGTTGGCTTTGACTCCACGGCACATAACAACAACAACAGCACTAATGTGTTAGCTCTTGGTGAGGCTCAGACCAAGAAGTTTACCCCACCCCATCCTCTACTCTTTGTTTTCCCTGTCCTTCTAGTCCTTCCAAATCACACCAGACTCTGCATAGTCTAGTAGCCAGCAACAGCAATGTAGGATAATGCATACTTGTATCAGACTGTATCTCTTCCTATACATTATAGTTTCCTATCAAACTATATATTGAATTTTAATACTGGCTGAAGCTTTAAAAACATCAATGTTTGTAGGCTTAGGGTTGTGGAGGGGGAGAATAGGAAAGGAGAAGCCCTTGGGGAAGGTTCTTCTTTCCCTTTGGTTTCCCTCAAGGAGCAAATTTATGTTGCCATCTTGAGATGCAAAGTACATCTCCCACAGCCCCCGCCAGTGGGCTTCCTACTAAAAAACAAAAACAAAAAACCACTGCGGTGAGTCGATTCTAACCCTATAGGATGGAGTAGAATTGCCCCACAGGGTTTCCAAGGCTGTAGGAAGATGGGGCAATCTACTTCTGTAGCGATACTGCCTCAGACACCCAAGGAGGGGTCGCTGAGTCGGGTCCGACTCGACGGCACGTAACAACAACAACAACAATCTTTACAGAAAGATTTCTGGTGGCGTAGTGCCTAAGGCATTTGACTACTAAGCAGAAGGCTGGCAGTATGAGTTGGATCCGACTCCACAGCAGTGAGTAATCTTTACAGAAGCAAACTGCCACCTCTTTCTCCTGCTGACAGACTGGTGGGCTCAAATTGCCATCCTTCTGATTAGCAGCTAAGCACTTAAGCACTGTACTACCAGGGCCCCTTTTTGGGCTTCCTACTAGGTTATGCCCAAAGGAGGCATTACAGAAAGGCTGGAAGGTGGGAGAAGAGGCCCTTCTTGTTTTCCAGCTCTTGTCAGCACCTCTTGGGCAGAAGCAGTTGGCCCCGCCTGCAATCTCCCAGCCCGCCTAGGACCAGCATAGCTCTCTCCTCTTCTGATGTCTAAGCCCCAGCTCTGGTAGCCCCACCTCTTCCCTTTGCTCCCCCAGCCCTACGGGGGTATGAAGAGAGGGAGGCTGCTTCCTGCAGCTACCATCTCTGTGCTATCCAACCTTCTAACCACTGTGTAATCAGTTTTCTAAATTAAATTCCTTGTGTTTGAAGAACCTAGTGTGGTTTCTATATTTTCCTGATTGGGTTCTGACTAATGCAAACAGACCACCTTCTTGATAAGGCCAGGGAAGTTTTCCTCAAAACCAGAACTTTGGTGTGTGGGTATTTGGAGCATTGAAAAATGGTTTGGTGTCTGTTGCAAAAAACAACTTGATTTGTTATTATTCTCTACTCAGCCAGGGCTGCAGGCCAGAAATGCAAACCACAAAATGGTTTGCACAAAATGCATACCTCAGACTTGTATTCATTTATTTTCTCATTCAACAAATATTTATTGAACACCTACTGTGCACCAGGAGACCCTGGGTGGTATGAATAGTTAAAGGTTGGTGGTTCTAGTCCACCCAATGGCAACTTGGAAGAAGGGCCTGGAGATTAACCAAACAAAACCCAAACACTGCCATTAAGTAGATTCCAATTCATAGCAATTCAAAAGGACAGGGTAGAACTGCCTAACAGGGTTTCCAAGGCTATCAATCTTTATGAAGGCAGACTGCCTCATCTTTTTCCCATGGGGTGGCTGGTAGGTTTGAACTGCCGACCTTTTGGTTAACCACCAGAGCTCTTTGGCCTGGAATTACTTCCAAAAAATCAGCCATTGAAAACCCTAGGACTACAGTTCTAATCTGACATACATGGGGGTGCCATGAGTTAGAATTAACTGGTTTTTAGTTTTGGTTTAATGTCAGGGAGTGGACAATATATTAAGCAGAGATTAGACTGCATGTTGACAGTTCTTATCGGTTCCATATCCCTTAAAAATGACACATGTAAGAAAGGGTTCTGGATGGCCTTTACCAGGCCTCAGGAGGGTCTACAAATGCTAGCCTAAATGGCCCATTCCTTGAGTGTACGGGCAGGGCCTGCTTTGGCCCTCACAAACCCTTTGTCAAACCCAAAGACAACAGAAAAGGCACAAAGGAGAAAGGAAAGGAGCAAACATAGCTCTGAGCGTAGATCTTTTTGTTTTTTTCCCTCAACACAGAATCATTGGATTTCTTTATATATTCATGCTCTGCATATAAAACAACAGAATTCAACTCACATTTAATCATTCTCATCTACCTTAAGTGTTGATAGTTTTCATCACATCGTAGAAGAGTTTGGTGAAGACCTTAGTCTCTGAGACCTAGACGGTCATGGCCCACCCTTTGAAACTGAGTAGCCCTGCTTCCCGTGCTCCTCTCAACACTTCTGTTCACAAACAGCAGATAAAAGTCATACAGACTGTTTATAACTAAGAATCACCCTAGTAATTGACTGTGGGAGCTCTGGTAGCATAGTGCCTAAAGCACTTGACTGGTAACCAAAAGGCTGGTGGTTCAAACTCACCAGCCACTCTTCAGAAGGAAGGTTGGGCAATCTACTTCTGTAGTGATACCGCCTCGGAAACCCAAGGAGGGGTTGCTATGAGTCAGTATGACTCGACGGCACATAACAGCAACAACAATAATTGACTGTAGGACCTCCTTTTAGAGATAGATCTTTTCTAATGTAAAAAAAAATCACAAAACTTTGCTGTTTAAAATGTGTCAATACCTTCTAATCCCGTTGAGAGTAAGATTCAAGCTCTTCACCACAAGCGACAAGACCCTGTGTGACTCTCACTGTTCCTTCTCCAGCTTCATCTCCCACTGTCTCTCCACGATGTTCATGACCCTCTTACTTCTCTAGTGCTGCTATAACAGAAATACCACAAGTGAGTGGCTTTAACAAACAGAAATTTATTTTCTCACAGGTGAGGAGGCTAGATGTCCGAATCCAGGGTGTAGCTCTAGTGGAAGGCTTTCTCTTTCTGTCAGTTCTGGAGGAAGATCTTTGTCTCTTTGAACTTCTGCTCCTGGGCGATTTTCATGTGGCTGGCATCTTTCTTCCCCTATCTCTGTTTGCCAGCTTGTGTATTTAATCTCTTTATATCTCTAAAGAGATTGACTCAAGCTACACCTACACTAATCCTGTCTCATTAATGTAACTGATGAACCCATTCCCAAGTGGGACTCTAACCACAGGCAAAGAGATCAGGATTTACAACACATATTTGTTGGGGGTCACAATTCAATCCGTAACAGTGACTCTGGCCATCTTGAACTTTTTGCTATTCCTTGAGCATTCTAAACTCATGCCCATGTCAGTGTTTCATTTATTCTCTTCACCTGGAGCATTCATCTTCAATAACTTTCTATGGCTTACTCATTCACACCATTTTGTTTTTGCTAAATGTCATCTTATAAGGCCTTCCTCAGCTGCACCAAATAGGCACTCATTTCCAATCTATCTCTTTATTTACTTTATTTTTCTTACAGACCTAAAGGAGCCCTGGTGATGCAAATGATTAAGTGCCTGGCTGCTACCCAAAAGCTGGCAATTCGAAGCCCCCAGTGGCTCCGTGGGAGAAAGACCTGGTAATGTGCTTCTGTAAAGACGACAGCCAAGAAAACCCTATGGGACAGTTCTACTCTGTCACATGGGGTCACAATGAATTGGAAATGACTCAATGGCACTCAACAACAACATTCTACATAGCCCTTAACACTATCCAAAATTATATATTTGTTCATTTATTATCCATCTCCCTCACTACAGTGTATGTTGCAATATGGCCAGGACTTTGCATGCTTGGTTCCCTACTCTATCCCCAGTGTCTAGAACAGTAGTACTTGGTATATTATCAATAAATATTTGTGGATCAGATGAGTAACTGAAAAAGAGTGAGGTTCTATGAAGCATATGTGAGATTTTTGTTTTCAATTTTTAAACGCCCAGCCATCCCAAATTTTCCTTCTTATTTTTTCTTAGAGAAGAAATACTAAATCCAAGAAGAAATCAGGGTGGAATCAATATCAAAAGATTTATATGGCTTATCCACATCCTCTGTGCTCTCAGTTTGGCCCTAGCACACCCATTAGTTATGACCTGATCACATTTGTGGATACCATAGCAACATAGCAATGACTGAATGGAGAGAAAGAAGGTCCCTTCTTACAAGAAGAATGAAATAGTACCAACCTAGAGGCTGAAAAATCACTATGGAGATCTTGCATCTGGAACGCTTTTACTGAAGGAATCTTGGTCAGCAGACAGGACCGATCTACTGGGTGTTTCAAGTGAACAAAGAACTATACTGGAGAATGTTAGCTTTAGGAATGACAGAAGGCAAACAAGGGACATATCAGCAGGTAAATAAAGAGCTTGTTTACTCGGGGGAAGACATGAGATCTGAAATGTTAAAACTGGTCTGATACAAAAGAAAAAGAAGCATCCCTCCAATTTTATATCTGGACCTAAATGCTTTTACATGTAAGGACTAGAGTTGCAGAAATGTTTTTGATGATAGTAGGTGTGGGAAAATGACTGTGTTCCAAAGACATTTAATGGCAGAGGAAAGGAATGATAAATCAGGGAGCAATTTGGAATTACACCCCAAGAGGGAGCGTAGATCCAGGAAACTATTGAAAGTCGCCCTCTGATGGTGACAGATAGAAAGTCCTTCCTAAGAACAATTGGGGGACTTTTCTTACATGGGTACCCAAGGTGTTGCAGAAAATTTAGGCAAATTTGAAAGAAGGTCAGAAAAATGATCAGAGATCCTTTAAGCATTATTTATGAGTTCCAAGTTGACATAGATTTTGCACATAGGACTAGCACATGCCATGAGGAGCCTGTCTGGGTCATGTATGGAGTAGGAAATGAGATCCACCAAAAGGCAGCCAGACAGCAGTACAACAGAATGAGTCTAGGGCATCATGGGGGAGCTCTAATCCGTATCTTTTTTTTCTTGAAATGATATGGCGCCTCCCTAAAGTATATGAAGGTAAATACAATTTAGCCTTGCAATATTTTTTCCAAAATAAATAAAAATATTGTTTATTTATTTATTTACTCCACATAAGAATTCCATCCTTCTTACCATGTCTTTGACTCTACTTATTGATATGCAAAGTTTTGTTCTATTATACATAAGGTCACCACGAGTTGGAGCCAACTCAGCAGCTATTAACAACAGAGTGACTGTTGGAGTGGTATTTTCATATCACACCTAATGGCCCACTTGCAAACTTTTTATTTCCCCTCTCCACCACTTTGGGCTTTGCTTGGTTAATGCTCTATATACCAAAAGAAGGAATGCACTTACATCCCACTGAAGTGGGAGCTAAGCCTGCCTCCTGGCTTTTTGGGGCTCCTCATAAAACAAAACACCAAGACCATCACTAAAAGTTGATTCCAATTCATAGTGACTCTGTAAGACAGAGTAAACTGTCCTATACGGTGTCCAAACCTATAATCTTTATGGAAAGGAGCCTTGGTGGTGTAGTGGTAGGGCATTTGGCTGTTAATCAAAACGTCAGTGGTTTGAACCCACCAGCTGCTCTGCAGAAGAAAGATGAGGCACTCTGCTTCTGTAAAGGTTTATAGCCTTTGAAACCCAGTGGGGGTTGCTATGGGTCAGAATGAACTCCATAACAGTGAGTTAAGTTTTTGATTTTTAATCTTTATGGAAGCAGACTGCCACATCTCTCTCCCTCAGATCTGCTGGTGTGTTTGAACCACTGACCTTTTGATTAGCAGCAGAGCACTTACACACTGTGCCACCAGGGCTCCTCATATCACTGAGAAAATAGACTCAAAAAGAGATATGGTGTTGACTGGTGCCCATTTGATCCTTGATAAGGTTGTTGCTGTTTTAAGAAGGAGGATTATAGAGGGAATCTTAAAGGGAGAGGAGATAAAAGTCTGTATTTCTAATGTGACTGTCTTAGAATCTCAATGAATTGGGTAAAAATGATTTTTTTCCTGGGTGACAGCTATTATCTGTTCTCTCTTGAAACATCCTCTGCTATTGATTCCATAATTTTCAGTAACTTTCATCTATTAGAACAGTCATTTTCAGTTCTTAAGACTCCTTACTGCTCATTTCACAACTTAAATCCTAGACCTGATGTTAACACCTCCTCCAGGCTGCTGATTCACCCAGTTTCTAGTGGCTTGGAGTGGAGGGGGGCAGCCTGGCTGTCACCCTCTCCCCTGCACATGTTTCTCTGATTCTGAGGTAGGATGAAGGGATAGCAGAAGTAGAAGCCTTCTTTTGGGATTGCCCACAGAGAGATGAAGGCTCTCTTTGGCGTCTTGTCTGTGGGCACAGTGTGGCCAGGTGGTAGTTTCCAAGGGTCTGCTGAGAGCAGACTCACTCTCGGGCAGCTCTCCACCTGGCTAACTCAAGCTGGAGACCTCTCGTCACATTACTTTTATGTGTGTGAATATTTTCCCAGGATGGAAGTCCCAGCAGGATGGTTACCCCCAGATTCACCCACCTCTGCAGCTGACAATTGAGCCCATAGGCATTTGGAGGGTTCACGCACGTGCTGTTCCCCCTAGGAACCAGATTCTTGGCAAGGAGGTAGCGGTCCTGGCTTCCTCTCTTCCTTGTTAGCCTCACCCTGACATCCCCCTTCCATTCTTTTCTCTTGCTCTCAAAGCACAAGTGAAGAAGACGTTTACCTGGAGAACCAACAGCCAGGCTCCCTTGCACGGATTTATAGGAATCCTTAGGAAATTCATTCTACAAGGAATTGTTAAAAGGTGTCTCTCTTTGTGTAAGCTAGTCTCTTAGGCTAGCTGAAACTCAGAAGTCTCAGTGTAAAAGGAATATCATGCAATTTTTTTTTTTAAGAAACAAGGCCAAGGCTCGGATCAGGTGGGGCATGTCCTTCTCCTTAATGAGCCTGCGATGGAATCATTGTCTACTGCGACCCAGATCAATGTTGTGGTTGGAGCACTTTGACCCTGCCACTAAGCCCCTTGCCTTTGGCTTTTTAAAGCATGGACAATCTGATACCCTGAACTGTACACCTTGGGGACAGACTCAACTCTGGAAAACCATCAACCTGGCATCATTAGGGTGAGATTCCAAGTGATGTGCTACCTCTGAAAAAAATTATTCAACCCAGTCCCAACACCCAATGCTGCTTCAGTCAGTACCTGGAGGTAACAGAAGGCCTTGCTTTTCACTTGATTCCATGTGGGGAGGTTGTCTGTGCCCTGGCTGGAACGACTGACCTCAAAACTACTGCCTCTGTCTTCTAAATTACACACTTACAATTTGATGCCTGGAATTAGCTTTTCCAAAATGTTTTTCCCAATTGCCAATGAGTTGATTCTGACTCGTGGTGACCCCACGTGTGTCACAATAGAACTATGGTCCATGTTGTTGTTATGTGCCATTGAGTCGGACCCGACTCATAGCAACCCCTCCTTGGGTTTCTGAGGTGGTATCTCTATGGAAATAGATCACCCAACCTTCCTTCTGAGGGGTGGCTGGTGGGTTTGAACCACCAGCCTTCTGGTTAGCAGTCAAGTGCCTTGGGCACTATGCTAGCAGCGCTCCTGTGGTCCATAGGGCTTTCCATTTTTTGAAAGTAGATTTTTGGTTTTTTTGGGAAGTAGATTGCCAGACCTTTCTTCTGAGGTGCCTCTGAGTGCACTCAAACCTCCAACCTTTTCATTAGCAGCTGAGAAAGTGAATCATTTGTACCACCCAGGGACTCCCCAGAATGATACAACATGCTCCGAATTGGATGGGATGCCAAGGAACAAGATCTTCGAGATGGAGCATCACTTGCTTGGTGAGCCATGGGCTGCCTTCACACCTCCAGACAGC